TAGAATTACTTCACGAAACACGAAACAATACACAAAATTCTGAGAAAAAACAGAAATAAATAAAGAGAGAGAGAGAGAGAGAGAGAGAGAGAGAGAGAGAGAGAGAGAGAGAGGAGAGAGAGAGAGAGAGAGAGAGAGAGAGAGAGAGAGAGAGGGAGAGAGAGAGAGAGGGAGAGAGAGAGAGACGACAGAGAGAGAGAGAGAGGGAGAGAGAGACGAGAGAGAGAGAGAGAGAGAGAGAGAGAGAGAGAGAGAGAGAGAGAGAGAGAGAGACGAGAGAGAGAGAGAGAGAGAGAGAGAGAGAGAGAGAGAGAGAGAGAGAGAGAGAGAGAGAGAGAGAGAGAGAGAGAGAGAGAGAGAGAGAGAGAGAGAGAGAGAGAGAGAGAGCGAGAGTGAGAGAGAGAGAGAGAGAGAGAGAGAGAAAGAGAAAAGAAAACAAACACATGTAGGGGATATATCAGGTAATGGGAAAACTAAGTCGTTTAATTTTCTAACGTGGATTAAGAACTGAAATTATTATCGCATGAAAAGAAGAAGAAGAAAAAAAAAAAAGAGAAAGAATGAGAAATATTTTCAAAATAAATGTTTGTTCTTGGTAATTACGACAGAGAAGTAAATTTTATCGGGGATTCTCGAGCTGAGAGAGAGAGAAAAAAAGTATAACAAACATATCCTATTTTTTCTCTTATTTTTTCCCTTTCCTTCACTTTTATTCCTTAATTTCTTATATGTATTTATTTTTTTTATTTCACTACTCATTTCTTTGTTTTTTTCCTTCACTTTTTACAATGGTGCTTCTATTAGTTCAACCCCCCCCCCCAAAAAAAAAGTCCTACATAGTCAATATTAGAAAAAAAAAGATAAGAAAAGGAGAAGCAGCAGAAGAAGAAAAAGAAGAAGGAGCAGAAGAAAAGGAAAACAACAACTAAACAACATTTTTTTTTCCATTTTTTGTGTTTTACTTATTCCGTTTAATTTTTTCTCCGTATCTTTTCTTTTCTCCTTTTTTCTTCTCTCTGTCATGTTTATTCACATATCTGTTACCGCTATTTCTGTTACTACGAGTGGTTCAGCATCTTTTATCGTTTCCACTTTAATTACAAACAAACAAACAAACAAACAAAAATATAAACACTTTGCCTGCTCTAGAAAAATGAAATCTTGCAAAATCAAACATTTCGAACATGTTTAAAGCTGCACTCAAGTCCAGTGATATATGATACTTTAATAGTCAGTAACGGAACACCGAATTACCATGAAATCAAAATAACAACGAAAAGAATAATAATGCCAATGATAATAGGGATGATATTAATGACAATAATGGTTAGAAGATTAATTATCAAGCATTTGTTAACATTTCGATAAACTTTCTAGAAAAAAAATGGCCCGTGGACTGGAATTATAATGCCAATTCATGATCCTCACTGATGCATAACAAATAAAATAATCATATTTCGCATCATGTTTGTTAACACAACACAGTGTTCATAGAATAGGGAGATAATAAGCATTCAGTTTCATTGTCGACGAATAATGATCATAATGTAGTTTTAGGTTAATTCGCTCACTGTGTTTTGTTACTGACTGTCGACCCGTTTGTCAGCCTGCCTTTGTGTCTGTCTGTCTGTCTGCGTTTCTCTGTTCTATCCAGTTAATCCTTGTTTTTTTTTTTTTTTCACTGTGACCTTATAGCAAATATACTTTTTCGTTCGTTTATATATATTAGTATTTTCCTCCTTATTGCGTCCACACCGCACCTATTCCAAAATATTTCAGGCCGATTATCTTCCTTTACTTTGCGTTTGTTTGATCTATTCCACTCATACCCCCACCCCCTCGGGTATCTCCCCTAGGTCCCTGCTAGTGAGTGAGTGAGTGAGAGAGAGAGAGAGAGAAAGAGAGAGAGAGAGAGAGAGAGAGAGAGAGAGAGAGAGAGAGAGAGAGAGAGAGAGAGAGAGAGAGAGAGAGAGAGAGAGAGAGAGAGAGAGATATGGAAAGATAAATATATAAATAGATAGATATATCGACAAGTAGATCGATAGATAGACAGATAGACACATAGATAAATAGATATGTATAGATAGATAGAGAGAGAGACAGAAAGACATAAAGAGAGATGGAGATAGAGTAACAGAGCGAGATATAGATAGATCGATCGATCGATAATAGATAGATAAATACACATACAGATAGATAGAAAGACAGATAGACAGATAGATAGACAGACAGATAGATAGACAGAGAGATATATATATAGAGAGAGGGAGAAACTTTAACCTGGAGACACCGTAGTTTTTGTCAGCGCCAGAGGCTTCATGGCCTGAGGACAACGAAGCTTTTTTTGAAGTGAGGACTTTTAATCCAATGACTCACAGCCGCCGAGGTCCGGATCTGCAGGAAGCCCACAGGCGTAAAGCAGGGAAATAAAAAGATAAAGGAGCATGGCGAGAAAGTTCAAGAAGACGACCAAGGGCACTTTTATTATCACTGGTCGCTGCAACTGCGAGGGAAAAAAAATTGCGTCAAAAGTCATCGAATTTTACGCAAAGCCGACGAGGTGATTAGCGGAAGGGGGAGGGGGGGGGAGCTACGGCGCTGTGTCTTTACATAGATGAGATTGTCGTCGTCAGCGTGATATAATTTCTTCTGTGTTTTAAAAGAACTTCATCTATTATGGTCCGCCAGTATATACTGTAGAATTTGGGTCTCAGTTAGAATCGATTTGATATAGGACCTGGGATTTGATTGATGGTCATGGGCAGTAGGGTAAATATCAGAACAACAGAGACTGTGAATGAAATATATGTACACACACACACACACACACACACACATACACACACACACACACACGCACACACACACACACGCACACACACACACACACACACACACACACACACACACACACACACACGCACGCACACACACACACACACACACACACACACACACACACACACACACACACACGCACACACACGCACATATATATATATATATATATATGTATATATATATATATTCAATCAATCAGGCAAGGGTGACACCGCCATATAACCTCTCAACTGAATTGAGAGAGGCCTATGTCCTGCAGTGGCATGAATGGCTGTTAAAAAAAAAAAAAAAAAAAAAAAAAAAAAAAAAAAAAAAAAAAAAAAAAAAAAAATATATATATATATATATATATATATATATATATATATATATATATATATATATATATATAGATATAGATATATCACCATAAACTGCATCCAGTAATGAGACTAGTTCTGTAGTTTTGGGGAAAGTGGAGCTGCCCCTTAATCATCACTGCTCCCAAGTTCTCTCAGAGAGGTAGCGCTTGAAAGGTTCCCAGATATGGGGTTCAAGTCAAGTCCAATCCAGTCATTCCCATAGTCACATGACCGTCGGGGCACTTTGCTGCGTTCACCTCCCTCTTCCACCTGTCCCGATCTTAGAAGTCTTTGGCGTGTGCATCATTGTGTTTTATTGGACAGTAACCTGGTGGCGTCCATCTCCTCTCCTGCATGGATGGCCGTTGGCTCACAAAGGAGCTCATCATATTTAATGAATATGGCCATTTACAATCGGGCAACCAAGGTGAAGCTCCCCGCCCAAGGGAACAACGCGCCGGCCGGGACTCGAACCCTCGAACCTGGATTTGTCGACGAATGCAAGTTCGATGCTCTAACCACTGGGTTAGAGCATCGGGTTACATATCCTAATGTTGGGCAGCAGTAACATTAGTACCTAGAACTGGCGGGACTGGATTTCGATGGTCAATATATATATATATGTATTTTTTTTTATTTATTTTTTTTTCAACAGCCATTCATTCCACTGCAGGACATAGGCCTCTCTCAATTCAGTATTGAGAGGTTATATGGCAGTGTCACCCTTGCCTGATTGAATGCCCTTCCTAATCAACCGCGGTTCGGCGCGTTAACACTTGTGCCACGGCGGTGACTTCCCCTGCGACACCTGCGTTTGACTTCTCAAGGCGATATGTCGTTTTCTCGGGCTCGAGCTAGCAGTCAGGGCGCAGGCATTTTTACGACTGCCGCGACGGGGAATTGAACCCGGGACCACGAGGGTCGGAGTCCAGTGCTCTAACCACTGAGCTATATATATATATATATATATATATATATATATATATATATATATATATATATATATAAAATATTCAATTTTCTTACATCATAAAGTATGCTAATATTACACAAGAATCACTACAAGATTTTTTCTATTCTTTTTTTTCAACTCCCTGCTCGTTCCCCCTTTACGTCCCTTCCCGCAGGGCTGGCAGCCCTTCATCAGTACGAGTAGCAGCCGCGCAGTTCGCTTACCCGCTACAGGTCCATGGCCTCCTCCAGCTCGGCAATGCTCGCGCGTTCGCTCGGCCGCACGACCTGGCTCCTCGCCACCCACCGCCTGATCAGCGGCGGCATCTGTTCTCCGCCGGACATCGCGCGCACGAGTGGCCCCCAGGCTGTAGATGTCGAACATCCCTGCTGCACAAGCCCGAGGGTTTCTCGCTCCCGCAGATTTCGGGAACAACGCGTAGTGATGAACGCCTTCGTGCACCTCGAATCCCCGAGCGCGGCTGTGTGCCCACCGGAAAGGGCAGCCGAATCGATGAAGAACACGTTGGTCCAGACAACAGTCTTCTTTACGCACACTTCCCCCCCTGGTGAGGTCGTTGTGGCAAGTCATGGTCTACACCTCCTCAGCAGGGAACAATCTGATTCAGGACGAGTGGCTTGTGCTCGACGGAGAGCGCCTGAGTGATTTATGGCTCAGCGTGTGCCGCCGTACTCGGTCACGAAACAAAGCGCCTCGGCAGACGCCCACCAGTTCTGGAGCCGTTAAGGCGCGCCGAACCCTTCAGGAACGTGGCATCGAGAATGAAAGTTCGTAAACTTGTTACTCCTGCAAACATCAAGACAAGCCCCGTGTGTTCGCCCAGCAACGTCTTAGAAATTCTCGCC